ACAGGAACCCTGACTACGTCAACAGCTGTATAGTGCTGGTTAATATATGATAAGGTAAGTCAAAAGTGGTACAGGAAATTTGACTACGTCAATAGCTGTATAGTGCTGGTTAATATATGATAAGGTAAAAGTAGTACAGGAAACCTGACTACGTCAACAGCTGTGTAGTGTCAGTTAATATATAAGGTAAGTCAAAAGTGATAAAGCTGTTGACGTACTCAGGTTTCCTGTGCCTCCTTTGATTTATCTTGTCACCATATACGTAACATAGGTTAAATGATACTTACATTTCACATTACTTGATTCATCATCACATGCCTATTTTACATAACACTGAAGTTATTGAGTGATTCACACTATTTTATAACAGGTTGTGCTTTGTAAAAACTACAATACTACGTTTTTCGGTTATCTGTCACATAGTACACGTTATATTCGAGACTAGCTATTTCCACATATTCTCCTTTGAATACCCCACCCCCCCCAAAAAAGTTCTATCCAGACAGCTACAAGATTGTAAGTATCAGACATAAACAAGGAACGAAATATTTCTGAATCAGCCGCGACCCGCAAAACATTTTCGGTAGTTTTCATGCCCTTCGTTTGAATTTTCCTTATTCTATCATTTTCATGTACGCCATTTAAGTTATGCTTTCTTGAAAGCATTATGTGTTAGATCGATAAATCCTGGAGGCGTTATAATGTGACGGTTAATCCCACTATTCGTTGGTAAAAGAGTAGCCCAAGAGTTGGCGGTGTGTGGTGATGACTAGCTGCCTTCCCTCTAGTCTTTCACTGCTAAATTAGGGACGGCTAGTGCAGATAGCCCTCGTGTAGCTTTGCGCTAAATTCAAAACAAATCAATTGTAAAGTTGTAAGGAAGGTAAACTTAGCTGAATATGCAAAAACATCTGAATGCGTGTTCACAAAGTCATAAGCATATGGTTTTGAACGAACTGCGCATGCGTATTTTAGACCTAATTAAGTCGAGATAGCCCATAGAAATTGTATTTAGTGTAATGTTCATCCTTTTAGGAAATTACACGCGAGTTAAGTGTTGTTTGTGTAAAATACTTTGCAAATAAAAATAAATAAATTTGAAATCAAAGGTAGTCGTCACGTGATGACAACGACATTGTGCCATCGTATACCATACTCGTTGCATTAAAATGTTTGACTAAGCAAAAAAAACAACAACAACAAAACAGTAAGGTGATTCTGAATGGAAAAGCCAATATGCAATCTGAACTCCTTGGATAAAGGCCTTTCTAACAATATGAGATTTGTAGCGTTTGATCGAGAAATTTGAGAGAAAGTTCAGGACAGACTAACGCAAGTATATTATTCATATAGATTGAGGAATTAAACATCATATATTGTGAGAGATTAAAATATGTAATGCATGTTAATATTGAATGTTATTTTCTAACTCACCAGTGTAGTCGGAAGATGTCGCACACATTATGAGCCTTGAGCAACTGCAATAGCAAAAAAAACCTTTTAAAAAAATGTTTGAAATAGCACATGGCTCCAAGCAGTCGGACGTCTTGTTTTTGCTTTAATGCTGACACTGACAGTCTGATCAGGTTAGCTAAGTATTTTGTTAACAAAAATACAAGGTACTTGTAGACGAATAACTAAAATGAACCGTTTTCTTTAATCAATCTTATAAGAAAGATCTGATCCAGAGGCAGTGAAATACTGCAAAATTAATCAAATAGTGCACTAGCGAAACAATATTATCTTTTAGCGTATATATACTTTAAATTTACAACAAAACAAAATTCAAAAGTGTGGAACTAGATTGTTGACAGATCTTTGTAAAATATAAAATATTAACACAGTTCCCTAATACCAATTATCAGCAGTCATATATCTAATTAGCGTCCATCACAAAAAATTACATAATTACAAATATCACTTTCAATAAAATCATACTGAGGTTTATAAAACGTTGTCAGGACTGAAAGCCTATTGAGTGAGTCAACAACTTAAAACAATTAATTAGCATTTTCCAATGGTAAGTCACACGAGAACTTAGATGACAGCCAAAGACTTCAAAAACACACGGAACAATAAGGAGAAATCTCATGATATGTCCCATAATGCGTAGAATAAACAACATATTCTTCATTTAAAAATGAAACTCCGAAAATTATTTATAGCATTAGTTTTGGCTCTTTATTGAAGTGCTGCCCTCTGGAGGTTCAGCGGAAAGTCTGAGGGTTTATAAAGCTAAAAACTGGGTTTCTGTACACGCGGTGGAAAGAGCACAGATAGCCAAGTGTGTATTGTGCTTAACAACATATGATTTCAGGGCTAATTTACTCTCGATGGTAGTTTGAAAAGTTTATTAAAAACTTTTGTACAGTAACTTAATTAAAATAATGTTAGTAATTATTTTTCTACTTATGTAATTACGGGCTCGATTCCCGGCAGTGGACAAAGCGCAGATATCCTTTTGTGTAGCTTTACGCATGAAAAAAACAAAAAAACTACAACAATCTACTGCTTACCAGAATTTGCCTCCTAGTGGCACAGCGGCATGTCAACGCTAGACACTAGGTTTCCATACCTGTGGTGGGCAGAGCACAGATAGCCCATTGTGTAGCTTTGTGCTTAATTAAAAACAAACAAACAATTACTATAATTTAATATTTAAAATACCATATATTTATATAAAAAAAACGTCATGAAGCATGCTTTCTGTTGCTAGGCTGATGGCACAAATTAATTTGAAATATATCTTATGATTTTTTTCTTTTCTACACCTGTTTTCTAATTTGTTCTTCCCAGAATTGAATTTATAGCTTCTGCTATGTTGGTATGTTCTCCGTTAAATCAGGAGGAAACATTATTGTAAGTATTATAGTTTAAAATTACTGTTTATAATTATTCATAAATATATTATAAAGTGCTAAATAAAGAGTAGTATTTGGCGCACTCGTGTAATAAGCGACGATTCTTAAATAAACTTCTTAATTATTTGTATGACAGCATATTAAATGTACGCATATTTCAAAGTGGGAAGTGCAGTATGTCCAAAGCTGTACATTGTGGTGGATTATACCTTTTGCATATAATATATATAAAGCACAAAATTATCTTTGTCTGTTATCTAACTACTACTAGTTCACTGGGTCAATCTCAACCAAACTTTGTGTGATGATAGTTTGAAACCAGGGGTATGTTATTGCAGGGATCGCACACTTCTCCACCTCCATTATTGTTATTAATAAGCATTTTGTATCTTTGACATAAATTAACGTTAACCGCAATCATAGATGGAGCCACGTCAATACAAAAAATGAATTAAACTTTCTATAACATAACATACACACAGTGTAGGGGAGGGAAAACATACGTCTTATATATATCTCGGAGTGTGCTACAACACACTATATGAAGAAATAACACTGGCCGCCATTATTGCAATAATACATGAATTCGGCTGAAGTTTCAACTCCAACAGCCACCATAAGACTAACGAGAAGAGGCCCGGCATGGCCAGGTGGTTAGGACGCTCGACTCTCAATCTGCGGGTCGCGAGTTCGAATCCCCGTCCCACCAAACATGTTCGCCCTTTCGACCGTGGGGGCGTTATAATGTGACGGTCAATCCCACTATTCGTTGGTAAAAGAGTAGCTCAAGAATTGACGGTGAGTGGTGATGACTAGCTGCCTTCTCTCTAGTCTTACACTGCTAAATTAGGGTCGGCTAGCGCAAATAGCCCTCGTGTAGCTTTGCGCGAAATTCAAGAATAATCAAACACTAACGTGAAGAACGATTTCTTTAGTTATACTCGCTTCCTACTTTGACCCGTGAACTTCGGCTAATGACCGTCAATTAATTAATCACTTGAAACACTATGGAAGGACATTATAAGAGCTGGGTGTTGAAAGCGGGTAATAGAAAGCACTCCAACCGCTTCTCCTTTTGTCGTTACCTCTTCTTACAAAGTGACCTTGACCATAGCACAGTGTATACCATGTTTTAAATATATACACTGAAGTATTAAAGCTTATACAAAACCTTTGGTGAGGTAATAATGAATACTGTAATAATACGTTATAAAATAAATTGTGTGAAAGTTAGGACTGTTGTTTTATTTATCATTGTATCCATCCCCATATTTTTTGTAAGTTCATAAACCAGACAAAAGACGGGTGAATAAACTTGTACAAAATATTTTAGCTTGTAATTGATTCTATAAGAGTTAGCAATTAATTGTTTTTAAGTATTAGCTCCTGCTGTTTTAGGCTAGTTTCAATATTTCTGGTTAACAACATGGGAAAAATGTAATATTTCAACCTTCTTCGTTACCAGAGAAAACACATATTGGATTTTGGAGTTAGAAGATGAAACGTATATTTTATACCAAGGTTATTGTGAAAATATACAAATTGTTATACGCTTTACTGTATTTTGTATTTTCCGGCAAACTACTAATGCCATCTGCCGCCGTTCTTAATTTGAAACTACTGACCAGAGGAAAGATGGCCAGTCAGCAGTACCCTACCATTCACGCTAAGTGATGAACTGTCACTCTTATAACGCTCCGCAGTATAAAAAGTGTAGAATATTATGTGGTATCGCACGAACTTGTACAAAGCTCGCCAGCTCCAAAAACCAGAGCTCTATCACAGAACCGATTTCATGCACTTTACTGTGAGAGATTCATTACATTTCTTGCGCAAACATGAAATGTAGTTTCATCTATCGCACACTAATTTATTGTATTCACGTTTTACACAGAGCTATTAAACCCATTTTTGATTGCTAACTCGTACTTCAAACAAAAATCAACCTTTCTTGCGTTATAGAGTTCGTAGGGTAGTGTGTTATGCATAAAAATAACGGCAGATGTTTTTCTTTCTTTTAAAAATCCCAGTGTCACTACTGGAATGGCATTATTCTTGAGGTTTAATCATTTATAAATGTTTATATTCTTAACAAATACTTACTAAGTATGTGGTTTTTGTATTTTTTATTCCTTTTAGGATGGAGTCTTTACTCCTGGATCTCCTGCAATATCCCTGATGGACCGTCGACCATCTTCTCTACCGTCCATTATCTCTGGGTCGGGAAGCAGCGAGCGAGACATCTGTCGTATCTGCCATTGTGAGAGCGACGTTAATATGCCCCTCATCTCCCCTTGCCCCTGTTCTGGTAGTTTAAGGTATGTCCACCAAGCCTGTCTTCAACAATGGATCAAAAGCTCTAATACAAGATGCTGTGAACTCTGCAAGTTCGAGTTTATTATGGAGACTCAGGTTAAACCCTTCCGAAAGGTGAGCGTAAATAAATGTTATTCCTGGAAGTTATAGGGCTGTTTAGTGTTACTTCTATAGTAGAAAATATTGTTACATCTCTGGTCGTTTGTTAATTTCCCGTAAAAATTCTTTCCAAAGAACTTCAGCGATACAAGTCCTTTCTTAAATAAAACTAGTTTATTCTTTCTCAATACAAATTTGCAATACATTTAATTTCCACAGTCACTTTAACATAAACACACGCTATAATTCACAACGATTCACGCACTTTATTTACGACTTGACTCGATTATCTGTCTCTATCTCTCTCTATCTGCAATTATCTATGCCGTCACTTCTATTCTCCGCTTTATTTGCCTGGCTTGTATATATAAAAATAGAGGGCGTCTGGCAAACACTCGAGCCTTCATGATCCTTCTAGAAACTCATCACGTGTTACCAGCGTCATGTGACTTCTGCTGTCGTAACAATATTGTAGGGAGTGTGATAAAAGTTTTACGAAATCATTTAGTGAAATATGATGCTATAAATAAAAGCTAAAATGGATTCCCCGACAGGAAATCTTGCCTTATTCAATCTGTTATCTTTTTTCTAGGAAGTTATTTTTTAGCTGGATTAGAGAATGGTGTAAACCTGATGTACTTTTACATATTTTCAAAATCTATTGATAAGATACCAGACTAATGATTAGTTAAGAAAGTCACATCAATAGAAGTTGTAGAAAGACTAATTAATTGGATCATAGGATGGTTGGATGGGAAAAACAAAGGGTTCTTATTAATGGAGTCCGTTCAAAATGGCCTTGTACAGTACCTCAAGGGTCAGTGCATGAGCCTTTTCTCTTTCTCATATACATTAATGATATCTGTAGAGGCATAATCAGAAAATTAGAAAAGTTTGCTGATGAAATTAAACTCTTGGGTACTTCTATCTGTATTTATGGTGTTGAAGTATTACAGAATGACTTTAATCAGTTGGTAAACTGGAATATTTATAGTAAGTGCAAGGTAAAGTACTGAAAGAATCTTGGCATAGCGGTAAATAAATCACTGAAGCAGTGCTCTATTGATAGAAGTAAATTTAATATACTTTTAGAGTGTGTTTATAGATATCTATATAAAGATTATTTCTATACACGTATCTCTAGTTCGGCTACACTTGGAATATTGTACACAACTTAGGTCTCCTTATGTAAGTAAGGATTATGAAATGCTGGAAAGGCTTCAGAGGAGGGATATGAGGATGATTCCATGGATGAAAGAAGTTATCATCTCTTAACTTATTTTCCTTTGTAAGAAAAGGGTAAGAGATATAAGCTATGAAAAACTAATGGAGACTAAGTTGGACCTAGCCACAGACTGGGATTGCATACCATACAGCTTGTGGCAAAACATTTGGTGGTCAGCACAGCTCTTTCAGGGCTGAGTGGAGCTTGGTATGTACCTGTAAGGGTAAAGGGGTGAGTGATCAAGTTTCTACTTGATACAGGATTGGACTTCCAAGGAAAGCCACCACTCCTTCCATTGAACACTGACTTCTTTCTGGAAAATGACAAAATACTGGATATGAGTGGAGACAAGCCTCCATATCTGTCTAGGAAATGTCATTTATAGAACAAAGGTAGTTATCTCCGACATCAGTTCTTGCATTGTCATCCTCGGGGTGGATATATTGGAAACTATTGGCCAGTTTTATCTATGCAACAGGCAAACTGATGTTTGGTGGGAGAGTTATGTGATATCAGCCAGATCTGGCCCTGAACCAGTGGACTGCATGAGTGTATATGGTGTACGTAATTACAGTATCTTCATATCCATAAGTGGTGTTCCGTGGTTTATGATGGGTGAAGCCTAGTTTGTCAGCACCATTTAACATGATTATTGAGGCCATGCAAGATGTGCATTATTTTCTGTCCAGAAAGCAAGCAGCATTAGCTTTGGCAGTTATCTGTTCAAAGAGGAATGAATTTCTAGTGTTGCTTTAAAGATATGGGTGATCACTTGTCCAGCTTCCCACTGGAGTTCCTATTAGCATGGTAATAGAAATGTTAGTAATTGAAACTAGACATAATGTTAGGGTTATGTTTGTCATGCTGCATTTGAGAATGAATACATGATTGCCAACACTTCTGAACTCATTGGTTAATGACTATGCAAACAATCTGGATCTAACACACAGAGAATAACTCAGTAATTTGTTAGTTGAATGTACCAGTTTATTTGAGGGACTAGATTGCTGGATGGGTTAAACAATAGTAATAAATCACCATATAGATAAAGTGATACATACCCAATAAAGCAACTGCAGTGTCTGCTTCTGGAGCATAAAGGGCATAGCCAGTGTTGAGATACAGTGGAAGTTAAAAGACAGGATCATACAACTCTCAGAGAATGCTTGGTTGTCTCCAATAGTGATTGTTGGAAAGAAGTAAGGTATGCCAAAGTTTTCTGTTGATTTCAATTAACTGAATGCAATAAATTGCACTGATATCTTTCTTTTGCCACAAAAAGATAAATGTCTGAATGCTGGCAAGTTGACTCATTGATAAAAGCAGACCTATGACTACTGTTAGCACGAGAGATGGCTTGTATTAGTTTTGCATCATACCATTCAGCCTTTTTAATGTGCCCATCATTTTCGGCTACTGCAGATTACATTGAAGGGTCTGTAATGGGAGAGATGCTTAATTAATGATCTCATGGTTTTTGATCACATAATTGAATTTACAGCTGCAAACCTGAAAATGGTGTTATTCCAGCAGGTAAAAAAAAAAAAGCAGGCTTGAACCTAAAACCAGAAAATTGTGTACATGCACATGGAAGTGGAACATCTTGATCATCTATGGGCCCTCCTGAGATAGTAGCATTATAAGACTGGCTTTAACCTGTGAACAAGCAGGAAATTGTTATTTCCGTGGTTTGCATCTATTACCAACAATTCATGGCCAACTTCTCAAACTTGTAGCATCATTGTCTGGTCTCTCTAAAATTGAGATACTTTGGGTAGAGCAAGGAATGTAAACAGGCAATCCAATCCTTAAAGCATGCTTTAGTGAAGGCACCAATGCTAGCATATCCTCGACAAGACTGAGAGATCTTATTGGACACTGATCCCAGTGACTGTATAATTAGAACAGTATTGTCACAGTTGCAGGATGGAGTAGAACATGTAATTGCATACACCAGTCATATGCTTATGACTCCTAAATGCACGTACTGTATGATGAAAAAAGAAACTGCTTGCAGTTGTAGTCTTTATGAAACACTTTCAACACTAGTTGTGTAGTAGGAAGTCTATTGTCTAGGTAACTTATTCTTCTCTGAAATGGTTAGTGATAGTTTAAAGTGCAGAAGGGATGATGGCGTGTTGGATAATATCATATTGCATTGCCCAGGCCCAGAAAACAGAAATGTCAATTTCACATATCACCACATAGTCAGACTCTGTCAATTTGCCAAATGTCCTGAGTTTGGACACTCTGAGAGAGTTGGAACTATTTCTGTATAGTAATGTCAAGCCATACAGTAGGAGATTCCACTAGGTGATGGATATCACATTAACACTTCGGAAGATCTGGAAAGATCTAATAAGGGCACGCCTTACTATGCAGCAACATAATGCTCAGCCACTACAGATTGAATAATCTAACAAAAATACATGTAACCTGTGGCATTTCTGTGGTCAATTACAAAGCACAGAAAGGTGTACTATACCACCATTGTTTTCAACCAATGAGCTGTGATTTTCAGCCTGTGCTGCAGCTAGTGGTCTCCAGGGCTTTAATGTCTGAAATTCTCCAGACTTTGTATACTTTCAAACTAGAGACAACCAAGGTGTAATGTACTTGTGTGCTAATGTTCAATGGTGATTCTACTGGCTACATTCAAGTACAGGTGGTGAGTGTTGGTGTAAACAATGTGCAGTGTGTGCCACCTAGATAAAGAACTGTCAAATCAGGGTAAACTACAATAGATACTTGTTGGATCTCCTTGGATATCATTACCCATTCTCAGAGACCTGATAAGGTTATTGGTACATCACTATTAGCTACTTCACAAAGTGGGCTAAGGTTTTTCCATAGGTTGATACTTTAGCACATTCCATAGATCATGTGTTAGTGGAACACTGGATAACTCATTTCAGAACACTAAAAGAAATCCATGTGAATCAACAACCAACTGTTTTCTGAATTTTATAATGTTTCATGTAGTGAAGATGCATGCTTTCTTTTTTCACTCAAGTCTGAAGATTTAACAGAATGGGTAGTACAGACTATCAAGTATATTCTTGCCAAGTTTGTTTATTGTGGGTGAACTGATTATTATGAGCACTTATTGCATATTGTACAGAGCAACTGAACAGAGATCTACAGGTTTTTTCCAAACACGGTCATGTTTGGGCAGGACATTTTGCTTCCTGCCAACATGATTTTTGGTTTTTCCCACAATGTCCACAATTATATATGGAGTGGCTACGGTCTGTATTAGGTGATGTGCACAAGTTTACATCTCAATAGCTGGAAAATGCCACCATACATCAGAAGAAGTGCTATGATAAGACAGTAAAGGAACAAATGTACCAATATGCAGATCAGCCCATTGATGTATAAATTATATCAGATCTGAGGCATGTAAAAATAAATGGAGCACATCATTAAGCTGGGTGTGTGTGCATTCACTGGCTTGACCAGAAGTCAGAGGATGAGACTGGCAAGCCAGAAGAAGATAAGGATACCTTCACATGTTGTGTTGACTTAGCTAATGATGAATAACATGTTGAAAGTACTTACCTGGATGTCCACGATGAGCCAGGTAATGTGACACATGAGTTAGAGCCAGAAGATAGCTGTCAGATGGCAGGGCTACTACTGTCAGTTTCTTGTTGAATATGGTTTGGATTAACATCAACTTCCAGCACTTAGACTGATAATTTGGTTGACAAATCTATAATTGAAAAGAAGTTATGACCCTTGGTTTCCAAGCCTTTAGGTGGCATTTAATGGTACAATTTGTGCACTG